GTTTTGTTGGTAATTTTTTTTTTTTCAATGACCTGTTCAATTTCTTCTTTTATTATGGATCTGTTAAACTTTTCCACCTTAGTCTGAGTTAGTTTAGGTAGGTAGTGTGTTTCTAGAAATCTATTCATTTCTTCCAGATTTTCAAATTTGTTGGAGTACAGTTCTTCATAGTATCCTGATATTATCCTTTTGATTTCAGTTAGTTCTGTTGTGATGTCACCCATTTCATTTCTTATTCGTGTTATTTGTATTCTCCCTCTTTTCCTTTGTTAAACTTGCCAGTGGTATGTCAATTTTACTAATCTTTTCAAAAAACCAACTTCTAGTCTTGTTGATTTTTTCCATTGTCTATTTTCTGTTTCATTTATTTCTGCTCAAATCTTTATTATTTCCTTTCTTCTGGTGACTGTGTAGGCTTTTCTTGCTGTTCTTTTTCTAATTCTTGGAGATGTTGGTTTAAAATGTTGATTTTGGCTCTTTCTGTTTGATGTGTACATTGATTTCTATAAATTGGCCTCTGATCACTGCTTTTGCTGTGTCCCAAAGATTTTGGTATGTTATATTTTCATTCCTGGTTGATTCAAGGAATTTTTTAATTTCATTTTTCATTTCTTTTATTACCCAGTCATTCTTAAGGAGGGTGCCGTTCAGTTTCTATGTGTTACCTCTTTTTCCATTCATCTTCCTATTGTTGATTTCTAATATTATAGCATTGTGATCTGAGAAGATGCTTTGTAGTGTTTCAATGTTTTTAAATTTATTAAGGCTTGCCTTATGACCTAACATATGGTCTATCATGGAGAATGTTCCATGTGCACTGGAAAAGAATGTATATTGTGCTGTTATCAGGTGAAGTACTCTGTAGATGTCTATAAGTTCAAGTTAGTGGATTGTATTGTTTAGCACTTCTGCATCTTTGTTGAGTTTCTTTCCAGTTGTTCTATCTTTCATTGAAAGTTGTGTATTAAAGTCACCTGCTATGACTGGAGTCATCTATTTGTCTTTTCAGTTCTGTTAAAGTCTGATTTATGTATTTTGGGGGTCTTTCATTGGGTCCATAGATATTTATTATGGTTATATCTTCTTGTTCAATTGATCCTTTAACCATTATGTAATGTTCTTTCTTGTCTTGTATGGTGGTTTTTGTCTTAAAGTCAATTTGATCAGAAATTAATACTACCACTCCTGCTCTTTTTTGCTTGCCATTTGCTTGGTATATCTTTTTCCAACCTTTGATTTTTAGTCTATTTTTGTCTTTGTTTCTAAGGTGTGTCTCTTGTAGACAGCATATTGATGGGTTATGTTTTCTTATCCAATCTGCAACTCTCTGTCTCTTGAGTGGTGCATTTAATCCATTGACATTCAGCATAACTATCAACAAGTATGAATTGGTTGCTGTCATTTTGTTATGTGTTTTTTCATGGTGTTCTTGGTTTCTTTGTTCCATATAATATTCCTTGCTGACCTCATTATGTTTATGAATCATATTGTCATTTCTTTTGTCACTGTTGTTTTAGTATTTGCTAAATATTTGTGCTTGTCCTCTTTTTTTTTAAATTGTGATATGAAGGTTCATCATCTTCATTGAGGTTACCCTGTGATTTATAATTTTCTCCTCAAGTTTAGAACAGTGCATTCTATCTTGCAACTCTCTTGACTTCCTCACCATTTAGAAGTTCTGTAACTATGCTATTTTTTCCCTCTTTTTGGTTTGTAGTTGTCCTCATTTGCCAATTGTTTTCTCTGGTTCTCTGTTTACAATATTGTAAGCTTATTTTACTTTGGATACTTCCATAGCTGTGTTGGTTTCTGGGTTATGTCATCTTGTGTATTAATGGTCGGTTATTGTTTGCTATTATTGGTTCTCTGTTCAAAGGACTCTGTTGTAAAGTTTATCTGGTTTTAACAAATTCCCTTATTTCTGCTTATCTGGAAATCTAATTTCACCATCATATTTGAGGGACAATTTTGCTGGGTATATAATTCTTGGTTGGAAATTTGTCTCTTTCAGAATTTTATATATACCATCCCATTGCCTTCTCACTTGCATGGTTTCTTCTGAAAAATCAGAGCTTATTCTTATTGGTTGTCCTTTATAGGTAACTTTTCATTTTTCCTGTGCTCCTTTCAGGATTTTTTGTCTTTGGTTTTGATGAGTTTGATGATGCTATGTCTTGGTGATTTTCTTTTGGGGTCTATCCTGTTTGGGGTTCATTGGACTTCCTGAATGGACATATTTTCATCTTTCATCATGTCAAGGAAGTTCTCTTCCAACAAATCTTGGACAATTTTCTCAGTGGGTTTCTTTTTCTCTTCCTGTTCTGGAATTCTGATTACATGTAGGTTATTCCTTTTGATGGTGTCCTACATGAATCTTAGGCTTTCTTCATTTTGTTTTGATCTTTTTTCTGATTGATCCCTTTCCAAAGAAGTATAGAAGTATTTGTCTTCAATCTCATTAATTCTGTTTTCCATTGATTCAATTCTACTCCTTTGGCTTTTCAATGTGTTATCTATTTCTGAAAATTTGGTATTAATCTTCTGGATTTCTATCTGTAGATTTTGTATCATTTCTAATTTTTCATTTATTTTGTCATTTTGTTCTTGTATTTTCTTCCAAAATTGTTTTAGGGTTTTGTCTGTGTTTTCCTTAATTTTCTTAGTGTTTTCCTTGATCTGTCTCTCAATCCTTTGAAGATACCTAAGTATAATTCTTTTGAATTCCTCATCTGGGAGTTCCAATGCTGCTTCTTCCTCAGGGATGTGTCCTGAGTCTATATCCTACTCCCTTGTTTCTACCACTTTATCCTGCTTCTTTGTGTGGACTGTGATGCTCTGTTGTCTCCAAGACTTTGTGATGTGTTGTATCTAGATCTCTGTTAACTGTTTGTGAAGAGCAGTTAAGGGTGAGTCATGCTCTTCTTGGTGGTCATTCATGTTGGCCAGTTGGTAGAGAAGGAAGTGATGGCTTTCACTCAATAGGTGGAGCTGCAGGAGGTGCGGGTGTGGTTGCATTGTATGGGCACAGTTGCTGTCTCCCACCCAGACAAAAACAACAATCATAAAACAATCAAAAAGTAAAAGAAGCAGACAAAAAATACACTGCATAAATACACAGGAACAATCACCAAAAAAAGAAAAGAAAAAAAAATCCCACAACATCTGGAGAGGAGGCAAAAAGAGAAAAGAGGTAGAGTAGGAGAACAATGGAGGAAAAAATGGGAAAAATGCAAAAAGAAAAACAAGGAATGGGGAGAACCCCAAGAAAGAAGAAAATGGGAACCAGGAATAGGGAAAAGAGAAAAAGCTGAAAATTAGAACCTGGGAAGGGAAGAATAAGAGTAATAATAAAAAGAATAAATAATAATAATAACAATAATTTTAAAACAGACAAAAACAAAGGAAAAAAATCTGTGCAGGGCAGGGCACCCAGGCTCCGTTGGAGCACAGAGACTGGGATGGAATTCCTGCCAGCCAAGAAAGTGGGTGGGAGTGAAGGATGGTCACACCTCCATTCACCAAAAGGGTGTGGGGTATAAGAGTAACAAGGGAATATTGCACCTGCGATGTAGTAAAATTACCTGGCATGGCTTTTCTAACCATAAGTCTTTGTAAACTCCATGGTGGAATTTGCTATGAGAAACTGAGTAGCTCCTGATTGTTAAAATCATCCACCTGGGGTACTTCTGTTGAGAGTGGCACAGAGCAATATTCTGGGAAGTTCGCTGTCTCTCAGGTGCTTAGAATTCTGATGTTATGATTGACTAGTTTGGCCACTCTGCCAGGCTCAAAAGGAGGTCTCCTAGAGGCAGAACTCTCTCTGACTGCTGGCTGAGAAGGACGTGCTGCTGAGAGAAACACTCTCCTGAGAGAAACACGCTCCTGAGAGAAACACGCTCCTGAGAGACATGTGCTCCTGAGAGACACGTGCTGCTGGGAAAGAGACAAAGAGACATGCATTGCTGAGAGAGACACCAAGAGACACACTGCTGGGAGAGAGACCGTGAGAGACTGTTGGCTGAGAGATGGCAGGCTGAGAGAGACTTGAGCATTTTTCCTGAACTTGAATTGTAGCCTGGTGCTTCCCTATTCTACCCCATAATCTGTGAGTTCCGTGTGGCCACTGCAGTGAATTATTGGACCCAGCGGAGAGGTGGTAGGTGCTTTGGGAGGAACAGTTGGTGAAAGGGCTGGAGCATGTCTGGTCTCACAGGAATAGGCCTTGGACTATTGATGGTGATTCTGTCTTCCTCTTGTGGGGTTAGAGGAGATAAGGAGATACAGCCTCCTTGCCCCTTTAGCAGCACCTTTCCAGTCATTCGTGTCCAGAATGTCCTTGCAGTCCCCAGCAAGTGGAGCTTATTCTTAGGTCCCTGGAATCTGAGAGAAAAATGCTGTAGCTTTAAATATCCAAAAAGGTCGAACAGCTTGTAAACATTCAAAATGGCTGCACCCTCCATACAGCCAAAATTCCACAACTCAGCCTGTCTACCTCTTCTCTGCTTCCCCTTTTATTCGCCAGCCAGTTCAGTCCTCCTTGCAGCCCCTGGCTAACAGGGCCAATTTATAGGTTAATTCTTAGGTCTTAACACCACTTGGCAATATCAAACTGTCCATGCTGTCAGGATTACTGACAGACCACAGATCCGTACATCTCCTTTTCAGTGTTTTCATGCAAGTTCTTCTACTAGTTGGTGTTTAGTCTACTTCTGTATCCTTCCTTTCAAAGCTCAGGGCTCCAGGATTATCTTGTGTATCTGTGTTAACTGCTTCCCCTTTTCTTTGTTGAAGAGGATCTGTGTAGTTTCTCTGCCTATTCTGCCATCTTAACCAGAACTCGAGACCTAAGGGTTTTAATTGGAGGACTCTCTAAGCCTTACCTTCTATCGCTCTGCTCAGCCTAAGCACAGCACAGACACTAACAGTCAGGCATGCCTCCTTCTACCCTAGAGAGGGGATAACTTCCTGTCTCACTGATATCTCTCTGCTGGTCCCACTAGCTCCAGCTGGAGTGGAACGTTCACCTAAACATTCCTGTGGTCACCTCCCCAAAGCCAAGGAAAAGCAAATGGCCCCCAGCCTTGTCCCGGCGCTTTCGCTCCAGTGGCTCCTCCTGCAAGCAGCCCCTAGAGCACTTTAAGTCCAAGCAGCGGGAATGTGTGCCCCTACGGATGGCCCGGTAGGTGCAGGGAAGTCAGGAGGGCAGCTAGTTGGATGGATAGAGATACCAGATGGCAAGATACAGGAATGGCCAGACTTGGGGGGTTGGTGGCTCAGTGAGGGTACAGACATGCAGAGTTCACTGCCACAAGTTGCAAGGCACCTGTCTTCTCCACTGCCCTGCCCAGCTCTGGCCCACCGACACAGAGGGGAATATATGTTGTGTGTGGGCTTCATAGGCCAGCCTGACTGTTTCAAACTATGCAACTGAAAGACTCTGAGGACCCACAGCTGAGAATTGATCGCAATTTCTACTTTGAGCATCCATCTAACACCTCCCATTGGCCTGTTAATATAAACAAGTGTGATCCTTCCCACCATGTAATGCCCCCAGGCTTAAAAACAGATGCCTGTGAGTCTTTGGGCAGCTGAGAAGATCCATATCCACACTCACTGTAGTGTGGCCAGCTCAGAGCTCCAGTCCCAGGGCATATATTAAAGGCACAAGACCTACCTACCATAGTGGCTTCTTCCAGCAGCTCCTCAGCCAGAGGATTTCAGGGAGTGAAATATAAGAGTCAGTGTGTGAGGGGTAGGCGTAACAAGGAGGGCAGTGACAAACTCTTTGAAAAGGGAAGTAGACAAGGCTTTGTGGCCCTAGAGAGCTGACTGCTTCTCATTCTTTCTCTCTGTGTCTAACTCTGTCATTTTTATTCCTCTGCCCCTAGCCAACAGGGGAGTCAGATGGAGGCAGTCTGGAAGACTGATGTAGCCTCCTCCAGCCACCCAATAGAAAAGAAGGCTCCTCCCAGCCTAGAGTGGGACCAGCTAGGGGGGTATCCAGACATTCCCCGGCTGTTGGCTCTGGATATACATCCCTCCTACTACAAAAATCTGACGTTCCTCAAGACTTGGTAAGTACAAGGCTGGACAGTTCATCTAGATTCAGGGGAACCTGCCCACCAAGGCAGGGGCCACAGTGCACACTGACACTGTCCAGGGGCCCAAGATATCTCTTTTCAAACATTAATAATGACTCCATGTATTGTCCTACATCAACAGTGAGATGCTTATGTGCCATCAGCTTGGGTCCCCACACCAAAACCATGTTACTTCTCTCAAGATGTTATACAGTATTACAACTTTACAGAAGTTTTTCCTTCACACTTGTTTTCTGGGCTACTCAAGAATTGCTAGGAAGCTACATCTTACCCTAGGCTAGTGGGAGAGCCAGGTACACGAATGGAGAGATGAGGGAGATCTGAATCAGATGATACACTGGAGACTCAGACCCAGGCCATCTTTAGCATTTTCATCTCCTTACTGTCTTCAGAACTGTCCAAGTAAAAACAGCTCAGGGGAGGGGAGGGAAGCAGGATGCAGGAGGCCAACAAGAGGCTTAAGGGCTAAACTTGAAGATGTCACTATTGAGAAATCTAGGTTCTTTCAAGGAACTTTTCTAGATCACCAATCCCATCTGCTTTTGTGGTCCTGGCCCAATTAAAGATACCCAATAGGAAGAGGGCACTAGCCAGGCTAGACCTAACCAGAACCAAGAGCTGCAAGATGCTGGTGCTGCTGCCATCCTCCAGACAGGGTATTCTCTAAGACACGGTGGTGTGGAGCATCAAAGAAAGTCATTCCCTGGCTGTGTCTCTACTATGAAACAGGCCCGAGAGTCCCAGCTGGATATCAGCACTACAACCCACCTACTGGATTGCTGTTGTAGTTGTTGTTAGGTGCTATCAGTCAGTTATGACTCATAACGACCTTATGTACAATAGAGAGAAACACTACCTGGCCCTGCACCCGCTTCACTATCATTGCTACACTTGAGCCCATTGCTGCACCAACTGTGTCAATCCATCTCGCTGAGGATCTTCCTCTTTCAGCTGACCCTCTAATTTACCAAGCATGATATCCTTCTCCAAGGACTGGTCCCTCCTGACAACATGACCAAAGTATAAAAGAAGTCTCGCCATCCTCACTTCTAATGAGCATTCTGGCTATACTTCATCCAAGACAGATTTGCTTGTTCTTCTGCCAGTCCATGGTGTATTCATTATTCTTCACCAACACCATAATTCAAATGCATCAGTTCTTTGGTCTTCCTTATTCATTGTCTAGCTTTCACATGCGTATGAAGTGATTGAAAATACCATGGCTTAGGTCAGGTGCACCTTAGTCTTCAAGGTGACATCTTTGCAGCAGATTTGCCCAATCCAATATGTTCTTTGATTTCCTGACTGCTGCTTCCATGGCCTCTGATTATGGATCCAAGTAAAATGAAATCCTTGACATCTTCAATCTTTTTTCTGTTTATCATGATGTTGTTTATTGGTTCAGTTGTGAGGATTTTTATTTTCTTTATGTTGAGGTGTAGTCTATACTGACGGCTGCAGTCTTTGATCTTCATCAGTAAATAATTCAAGTCTTCTTCACTTTCAGCAAGCAAGGTTGTGTCATCTGCATACTGCAAGTTGTTAATGAGTCTTCCTCTAATCCTGTTACCTTGTTCTTCTTCATATAGTCCAACTTTTTGGATTATTTGTTCATATTTAATAAGTATGGTGAAAGGATACAACTCTGACACCCACCCTTCCTTATCTTAAACCATCCAGTATTCCCTTGTTCTGTTGAAAAGACTGCCTCTTGGACTTTGTACAAGTTCCTCATGAGCACAATTAATGGTTCTGGTATTCTTATTCTTTGCAATGTTATGCATAATTTGTTATGATCCTTTTCAATAACATAAATGGCAACTATACACATGGACCTTGCTGGATGGAAAACACAGGAATCCAATTGACTACATCTGTATAAAGAGGTGATGGAGAAGCTCAGTATCATCAGTCAGAACAAAGCCAAGGGCTGACTGGAACAAAGCATCATTTGCTGTTGTTGTTAGCCACTGTCAAGTTGGCCAACTCATGGTAACCCTATGCACGATAGAATCAGTGTTGTGATCCATAGGGTTTTGTTTTCTTAATTTTCTTAATTTTGTTGTTGTTGAGAATATACACTGCAAAATATACACCATTCCAACTGTTTCTACATGTAACATTTAGTGACATTGATTACATTCTTTGAGTTGTGGGACCATTCTCACCCTCCTTTTCTTAGTTGTTCCTCCCCCATTAACATAAATTCACTGCCCTCTAATCTTTCTAGTTTTTGTCAATTTGATCCCATATAGTTCTTTAAAAAGCATAATGTTCAAGGTAGACATTACTAGTTAAGTTAAATTATTGTTTGTTTTTAATAAGGCTTCAGGGCATATTTTTGGTTTAAAGGTTTAAAGATTATAGTTTCAGGGATTCATCCAACCTTTATGGCTCTAGAAGGTCTGGAGTCCATAAGAATTTGAGATTCTGTTCTGCATTTTCCCCCTTTTCATCAGGATTCCTCTATGGAATCTTTGATCAAAACGTTCAGTAATGGTAGGCAAGCATCATCCAGTTCTCCTGCTCTCATGGCAAAAGAGAAAGTTGTTCAAGAAGACAATTAGCCAAACATTGCTTATCTTCCTCCTATTCCTGACTCTCCTTTGTTCTCTGTTGTTCCAGGTGAATACAGTCCATAGAGTTTTCAATGACTCATTTTTGGAAATCAATTACCAGGCCTTTCTTCCTAGTCTATCTTAGTCTGGAAGCTTCACTGAAACCTATTCAGCGTGATAGCAACACATGAGCTTCCACTGACAGATGGGTGGTACATGCACTTAAGGGGCATTGGCAGGGAATTGAACTTGGTTCTCTAGCATAGAAGGCAAGAATTCTACCAATGAACTACCACTGTCCCCATGTAGTGGAAAGATTATCTGGTTTTCAATTTCTGAAGAGTTTCCAAGGGGTATGTGTGTGTGTGTGTGTGTGTGTGTGTGTTGGGCATGGCAAAAAGAAATGAGAATAACCAAACCAACACACTGACAGAACTCAGTAACACAGAAGTCAGCTGGGGTCACACCCCTTGGAGATTTGATTCAATTTGCCTAAGGTCCTCCCTATAGTGTTGGCTCGCCTCTCTAAGCTCCTTCTGCCTGTCCTCTCTGCATCCTTGTCAGTGTTTGGGCTTTGCCTAGCATCTGTTTGAATCTCAAGCAAATTGCTTTGTTCTTCCCACATGTAAATATATGCATGCACACACTCCACTTGACCGCAAGCATTTCATGGTTTTAGTAACTCTGAAAATTTAAGAGGATGATAACACCAAACAAAACATAAACTCACTGCTGTCGAGTCAGATCCGACTCATAGTGACTATTCCTTTGGTTTCCGAGGCGGTATCACTATGGAAGTAATGATACCCAATCTTCCTTCTGAGGAGTGACTGGTGGGTTTGAACCTCTAGCCTTCTGGTTAGCAGTCAAATGCCTTAGGCACTATGTCACCAGAGCTCCTAAGGGGATGATAGGGAAAGGAATTCACATGGAACAGTACCTCAAAGCAGCCTTCTTTGTTTCCCTCTCTCATCCCTTCCCTCTTTAGTGTAGCATGGGAATTTCTAAAATTCCTCCATGTCTCAAGCAGAGGTATTCCTCCCACACCCAGGCCTCCACTGAGATCTGAGCTTCTAGCCTAAGCACTTATCAAAATATTGTTCCCAGCAAAGACACCTTCCCCTTTCTAGGGGAATTTAGGTGAATACAATTTTCTTCTTCTTTTTTTCAACTTTATACAAGTTCATTCAATTTGTCACACAACCAGACATAGAAGAAATGAAAGCCCTGCTGCCCCTGCTTTATCTGCACCCCAGGCTGGGTGACCTACCTGGGTGTCAAGCTGGTCCCCGTCTGTGCATTTTCTTGGGATCCCATTATCATGGCCTGAGGACCAGCCACTCTTTAACAAAAGCGCTCTGATACTGTCAGTGCTACTGTTCCTTTGGTGGTGGGGACTGTATTGCTTTCACTGTGAGCACTCTGTGTGTCCTTCTGGAGACAATCTGTGTCCACTCCCCAATTTACATATTCTCTTTGGCCACCTGCCTCTGGTCCCCAGTGAGCCTTCATGTCCACTTGCTATATGGGTCCAGATCACTCACGACTTTGTGGCCCAGCCAACCTCACCAGTACCCCTGGACATGCTGTCCAGTTCACAGCACAGGCCAGTTTCATAACCAGGACTGATCTCACACACTGTCTGCCCCATTTTCCTGGTCTGACTGGCACTGAGAGCCCATCCCACCTCCAGGTCACCAAGGCGACCTCTCAGCATGTGGGGAAAGGCTATCCATCCTCCCTCTGTGATTTAGGACACTAGGCAAACTGTCTCTAAAATCTAGCAGGCCTCCTTCTCCAAGAGCTTTCTCTGCTTTGTCTTACAAGCATCTCCCCTGTGGCTCACTGCCTGACAGGTCATATATTTGTGTGTGTCTGCACATACCAAAAGCTGTCTGCACTTGCAGGAAAATCTTTAGCTGCCTGATCTTACCTTGTCCATTTTTGCACAAGTAGAGTACACACCAGTACATGTGTGTGTCCGAAATACACAAGAACACAGATCCAGATGTTCAATACTTGGGACACACAAGAGGGCTTAGTGTCTTGGTATCTGGGAAAGAGATTAGGTGGGGGCAGGCAATTAGAAACATGGATGGTCCAGAAGGAGAGGGAAGAATGAGTGGAGGGAAGAGGAGATATTCTGTAAAATAACACAAGAGTTAGGGTTCACAAGAAGAGAAGCAGAGCCCCACAGGACTTGGCAGAAATGTTGCATTAAGCAGTTCCGTGTCTGGGTCATGTCTAGCCCAATTCTGGGCTATCTCCAGAGGTGACACGGGACGCTTTTGGGTGGGCTGGATGGGTGCTCACATTCCCAGGCTATGCCTCAGCTGCTCCTCCATCTTTAATTATATTAACTCTTTCAGTGTCTCGACGACCCAAAGAAAGGAAAGCCAAGAATCCATAGATAAGTCAG